TCTATTTTTATACATGACAGAACCGTTCCTAAGTGGATTCCAGAGCCTGTAGTTATAATTAATTGCTTTTGCCCACTGTGCTGGCTTTTGGCCGACTCTTTATGGTTGACTTGTTGGACTTGCTAGCTGCAGGGACTACGGTGCGATAAACACCAGACGGTTACAGTTACCCGGAGAGCAGTACCAGGACATGTGTCCCGCCATCAATAACGCTTAATTCAATTCGAGCCCTGCGCACTTACTCCCACTTCCGCAGGACGACTTCCGCTATCTCTTTAAGTCGGGGAGCGACTGCGTCCGGCACATGATTATTATTAGTTATGATGATGTATCCCTTTTAATGGTTCCGAATGGGGAGTGTGAACGTGCCCGGAAGATTGGATGGTGGTTGCGGGGGCCTGGGCCCGGCGAATATTAATAATTGTTTCTTTTTTGCTGCCTGGTTTTTGGGGGGCTGCGAAACACGCTAAAAATTAATTAAACGTTCTAGGCGAAGGGCATAAATATATATATATGTGTGATGGGTATATATATTGTGCGGGCATATTTTTTTCATTTCTGTTTTTGCTCGGCCATTTCGTGGTTATTTATGCGCCTGACTCCACCAAACCCACGGACTTCGGACTTTCGACGGACTTTCCCGGACCGGATCCGGGCCTACACTTGATTCATTGTTTTTGCTGCCGCTGCTGTTCGGGCCCAGTGTGAGCAACACGCACTCATATTGCCAATTTATATTTGTATTAATTAATGGGCCAGTAAACAATTGCTGAAAGCTGCGCCATTAGTCCCGTTCCAGTCGATAGTGGGTGGTTCGTGGGGAGCATTGCAAATGTGGGAAATGACTGCAATAATAAGCTCCTCCACTGGCCACATAAATTACACATTTTTTCTCATTTCAGTCAGCAGGAGTTAATAACATTTTCATAACCAAGTTGTGCGCATTTCACGTTGGTTATTAGTAAAGTATTTTTGTATTGTGTCAGACGCTATAAATTTCACTGTCCTTTACATTTGAAACTAATCGAAATGGAGCGAGCTTTAAAAATGTTTCCAAATATTAAATTATTAAATTACACATTAAACCTTTTAATCAAGTTTCAATTAAGAGTTTACTGAGGCAGAAGGTTGTGCAAATCTCATGCATAACAGATAATATAATTTCCGGCTGCAGCATAAGCTTTTATTTTTGGTCTGTTGTGTATAATAAATACGTAAATTATATATATACACTAAGAAAAAAAAGTATTTCGTGCTTAGATCAAGAATTTTCGGTGTCAAAACTTCGCCAAGTATGGAAAATACACAGCAAAATGCAGTTTTCAAGCACGAATTTTCAAGACCGAAAATACGAGGTTTCAGAACTTTTTGGTCTAATTTCGGTTAATAATAAAGTGAGAAAGTGGCAGGCATGATTTAAGGACGAATAATTCTTAAATCAATACACATAAATTATAAATTTAAATTTGGTTTTAATTATACGCTAGTAAAAGTAATAAGTTTTGGATACTGAAATAAACGAGATATATCTAAATAATATTAATATAATACGTTTTCTTACCGCTCACGGGCATTAATATTGTGTTATTTATGCGTCTTATATATCGAGCACTTACAGAATAATCAGTTGGGAATTATTACATATTTTAATCCAAATTGTGCTCACGGTGTTTTTTCCAGAGGGTGGTATTTCAAAACCGGGATATGAGTAGCTTAAGTATTTTTTCCCCTTTATGTTAGGCAACATATCATAATTGGAGTATTACCCAAAGCATTCATCTCTTAGGTAACTTTTAAATTTGAATTTTTCTCTACAACTTTTAAATTATTCTTAACTTAAATTCTCTCAATATAAACTTAAATACGTGGCCTGTTTAAGTGTTTCTTCTCATTAAAGGCGACTAAAGCGTAGACCAAATTCGCAATAAAAACCGCACTGGAAAATGAGGGAAACAATCGGTTGAAAAGCGCAGCCAAATGCCAAGAGCAGATTGTCCCGTGCAGTCACAGTCCCAATAAAAGTCGCCGCACTCCAACTGCCTCGATTGTTTGTCCTCCCAAGGACTCCACCCAGGAAAATAAGTACGCCAGCTGAACACATTTACAATTTGCCGGCGGAGTGTGTGGCCCCCGGTTTTCGGGCATGATAAAAATGAGCGTCGGAAATGCGAATATAAATTCAGCCATATCTGATGTACAAGTGTACATCTGACCGGGCGACGGGATGGGGCTCTGGATGGGGGCAGGGCACTCCGGAACGTGGCAGTATCAGTCAGTATGTGTGGCAGGATAAACATAATGGCTGCACTGCATTTTCGAGACCCTCTGGCGGTGGCAGGATGCCCGCCAGACAGGAGCAGACCAATCATCAGAAGTATGCCAGCGGCCGGAGGAAACGGCAGCGGAAATGACATGCAATAAAACACAAAGGCGCACGCATCGAGTGAAAGCAGGGAAAGCAGGCAATGCTGGGAAAGCAGTGAAAGCTCTCCCTTTAGTCTGTCGCCTGTCGCTGGATTATAACGAAAAATGGCATCTAACAACAAAAATCTATCTGGCAAATGCATTTGGCCCGCCTCCTGCTCTTCTGGAATCAGGAGAAACTTTGCGGAATTACAATTGCAAAAGTTGCGTGCCCCGAGAGTCCTTGCCGTTGGACTGATGACCAGTGGAGTCGGATCTCCAGGTCTCATCCCCCCCGACTTTTGAGATACACTCTCCGTACGTCTGTGCGTTAACGCCAAAGTCATTTGGCTTATCAATGCCAGACGCAGACTATTTTGGTCGCTTATCGCTTGGTCGCATCGCCAGTCCCGCATGCAGGTGGCATTGGCATTGGGATTCGAGGGGCCAGTTGGAGTAGGAGGATGGGGATGGGAGGCACAGGGCCCCGGGATGGGCGTTATTAAGTGGCCATTAGCCGGACCTGGCGACAAACTGGACCTAGAGGGGGGCTGTTCCACAAATTACACAGCTGCCAATGATTTTGTCCCCTATCAGCCGCACGCAGAGAAAATATCTATTTATTGGATGGTCTATGAATCCCTCGTAATGATACAAATGTTGAATTCATCATTAGTAGTACGAGTACTTATATTGCAGCTTAGAAAATAAGTATTAAATACGAATACGCTTTATTAAAGTCCTTGAAAGTAATCATTTTTTGATTCTTTACAATTTATCATATTTGAACAATAATATTTCCAAAAAGAATATACTTTTTTTTTTTTTTGCAATAATTGGTACCAAAACATCAACACAAACAAAAAACACACATCTTTCTACTCAAACGTAACACAACAACAAATAACTCGCCTTGATCAAATTAAATTTACACATAAATATTATTTAGATCGCACCACCCCACAAAACTGCCCAATTTGCCTTACACACTCCCCAATTAATATGGATCACATCCTTAATTCATGCCCCGCCATAGCCCAAACAAAACTTAATATCCTCAATAACATTAACGCCATACAGTACCTTAGAAACCCATCAATAGAAAACATCAAAACAATAATAACATATTTAAAAAAGAAATAAAATTATATCATAGCATATAAAAACTCCTCACATCCCTCAAATTAAAAATAAATGTAAACCTAAATGTTAAAAAAAAAAAAAATTGTTAAATTAAGTAAATAAATAAATTGTTAAATTAAGTAAATAAATTCGTAGTCGAAGGCCTCGTAGCTAGCACTACATTCCCTATGTTAGTATTAGTTTTGTAAACTTTACTATCATCTTAAATAAATAAATAAATAAATTTCCTATATTCTATAGAACTCTTCTTTAACCAAAGACAGCTAAAGTTTGTATTTATATACGATATAAATAATAATAATAATAATAATAGCACCCAGGATAAATACATAGTTAAGTAGTCAAATAAAATTATAATATCAAACCGGATTGTTAACCATTCGACAAATATCAGCATAGGCATTACTCGAGAATATATGGTCAAATAGATTTATAGATCCCCTTATCTCTGTATGTAAGCAGGGCGTACAAGTTATAAGGGTGAGGAAATTAATGTTTTTAAAGCCACTTTAATATACTTTACAATTCCTTGCATAAATTACATTAAATCGAATGAGATTTTTTCTGTGTGGATCGGAACCAGTGGAATGTATGCAAACATTGTTCAGCTGGGGCACAAGTTGTTGATTCTAACAGGGTAAGCAGGCACAAGGGTTCCACTCGCTTCCCCATCTCTGGGTCCCCATCCGAGTGGCCGGCATTATTTGCTAATTACGCCCTGCAGCAAGCGTTGCATGCATGTGATTGCTCTTTCTTCGACCGGGCTGCCAACTGGCGGTTACTGCGACCAGGGTACCTGGCCCTATTCCCGATCCCAAGGCAGTAGCCTCGGTATGCCATAACTTGCCATCAACTTATTAGCAGGCACACAATTCCGCCTGCCTGCCTTATTTTCGATTTTAATTTCCATGTTGCTGCCGTTCGTCGGTGGATGCCCAGCATGCAAATGCTCGACATGCGCGTAATTTGTATTCATTATCTGATGCATAATTATACTGCAGATAAGGCAGCGGAGTCGTGGAAGCCATCCACCAGGACACCAATTAAAGTATTCCACTAGGTCCGACGAAGTGTCCCAACTAACAGGGGAATTTGGATTACTTTTTGATGGGAAACTATTATATCATAATCGAAGACGTTTAGTTTCTTATTAAAGGCTTACTTTAAGTGTCCATCATACTTAGTAGTAAATACTTATTATGGGGTTGTCTGGTAAGGCTAGTGTTGCTGGATGCTATACTTAAAACTTTAAGATCAAAAATGTTATTTGTTGAGAATTTAATGAACAAAATTTGAAATTATATATATTTACTTTCTGGTTTTATCTTTGTACTATGGCCACACATTATTCATAAAAGTTCCATACAACCATTACCTCATAAGTCAATCATAAGATATACAGTACCAACTATATCTTACCCTTTCCATCGATTGCAACTTAAAACACCTTGGTATACTCTTTCTTTGAACTCTTTATTCTCGTGAATGTCATACAGTTTGTCCGCTTAAACTAGATTTATTGTGGAGTTTCATTAGCCCAATTGCTGGCATCAGAGTCTTGAGGAACCCTTTTGCATTTCTACTTACTGGTCTAGGCATAAAGTTAGAGTATCTGCTAGGCCTAGCAATGCAATAAATATAAATAGAGTGTATAAATAGGGTTATCTGCAAAATATCTTCGCTACGCTACTAGTAATTATAAAAATATATATAGGTTGAATCTTCAATTAGCTTAACTAGGGATGTGTATTTGGAACAGTGTTGGCTCTTATCGTAGGGTTTCTCCTCCTGCGGAGTTGCATATGTATGTTGGTGAGTGTATCTTAACTAGGCGCCTTAATGTCAAGTTGAACTTTACTTTGCTTTGTGGTGTGGCGATTGCCTCCGTTCCGAGGAATTGTTGATCGATGATCCCCGCGAGCGTTCTGGGCCACTTCGTTAGCCACGAGTTGGAGCTGCCCAGGGCGCCACATTAATAACATCTGGATCTGCATCTGCATATGCATCTGCATCTGGATCCTCTGATTGGAAGCCCCTCGGGCGGGCTGCATCACGAGATGATGCAGTTCTTGTCCTTGTCGCCGCCCATCTCGCTGGGCTTCCTCTTCCGATCGTAGGCCAGGGCATCGTTGGGCACATAGCTCACGCGCACCCCTCCGTAGTGGCGCCTCTGCGGCAGCTGGTACATCATCATGTAGTCCTCGGAGCTGGAGGAGCTCGAAGAGCAGGTGGAGCAGACGTCCGACTCCTCGGACTCCTCCCGCTCTCGCTCCCTTTCCCTTTCCCTCTGCTGCCGATTGGGTGAGTCCTGAACCAGGCTGGCCGCCTGCAGTGCCGAGGGTGGACCTTGGTAGGAAGAGGACAGGGGCTGCGCAGGCGCATAAGTATCCGCCCGAGTGGTCGAGTGCGAACGGTGGCCACTGCCACTGCGATGGTGGGTGGAGCCGGAGGAGGAGGACTTGCGACGCCTCCGTCTTCGGGAGGAGTGTCCATGACCATGGCGTCCGCCACCCTCCTTGTCCTTGTCCTTGTTCCGGTCCCTCTCCCGCTCCCTCTCTCCACCCCCACTTGTCCCTGCTCCATTGCCCGAATAGCTCCTTGATCTTGGAAGGGTGTCCGGAATCCCCTCGAAGCGAACACCCTTCTTCTTGGCCGGCTCCCCGCTCATGGGCGAGGAGGAGGAGGCGCCACTCAGGATGGAAACCGGATGAGGGGGCCCGTGGGTGGCCGACTGCGTGGACAGGGGCGTGTTCAGTGACCTTTCGCCCGCCGAGTGGGTGGGTGAGCCCATCAGTTCGGGCGGCAGAGCAGTGGAGGCCACACTCAGATTGGGAGTGGGCAGTTCGGGAACCTCCCCCGGCGGAGGAGGAGGTGGGTGCAGGATGTCCGCGTACTCGTGCTGCTGGAACTGCTGCGAGGAGGAGACGGAGTGCAGCTGCGACAGATGCTGCAGGTGGACCGGAGGTCCCACCAGTTTTCCCGCCAGTTCCGGCATGCTGGCGGTGTGCGGATTCTCCAGGAGCTGCCTCTGCAGCTGGTAGCTATTCGTGGGCTTCGCCGGCCAGGCTGCGTCTAGGTTCGAGGACATCTCGTTGAAGTTGTAGACTCCATCTCTCTGCAGTTCCATGGGCTTGGGCAGAAAGTGTGGCTGGAAGTCGCCGGGTGAGTTCAGCGGCGATAGGTTCTGCGACGTGCTGGAGGCGCGACCCCCCGAAAAATCCGTCAGATCTCCGCCGCCCATGTGGCCGCCATGGGGCTCCAGATCCTTGACCACGCCCGCATCCGAGTCCGAGGTGGCGTAGCTCTTGCCCTGCTCCACCAGTCCGCCCGCCGCCTCCAGCTGCTGGCTCTGCATCTGGTACATAGCCTGGTTGAAGGTCGCCTGGTGTTGTTGCTGCTGTTGCGGTGACATGGGCGGCGAGCTGGAGGCGTGGCTGCTGGGGATGCGCGCCGGCAGAGGCGCCTGCGGGTGGGGGCGCACACGCTGCGTGGGCGGAGTGGGCGTGGTGTACATCCCGGTGCCGGAACTGTCCGACGGCGTGGGCGGCTCCCCCTTGCTGCAGGCAATGGAGCAGTAGATGGCCCCCCTCCGGGGCAGGAAGGCGCGCCCCAGCAGCGAGCAGCGGCACGTGTTGCACGAGAAGCACTCGTCCGTCGCATGCCAGTGCTGCCCGTCGTGGCTCATCTGGCCCTGGTCCACCCCAATGGCCTCCCCGCAGTAGTCGCAGTACTCGGCGAACATCGCGTCGAAGCAGTGCAGACAGTACGGTTTGCCCTCGCGCATGATGTACCGCTGGCCGCCCAGCTGCTTGTCGCACTCGTGGCAGGCGAAGTGGTTCATGTGCCACGCCCTGCCCTCCGCCTCCGTGCACTCGTCCGCCAGGATGATCTGCGAAAGAAAAGAAATTAAATTAGAAAAGTTCTTAGAATTGATTGCATACGACTATATTTTCTTTTTAAAGGCAACGTTTCTCCAAAAGAGTGGAGCATCTACTAAGAAATTTTTCGGGCTCAAACCCTCCTCCCACTCTAAAGATAGTTTTGGCAATCCAAATAATCAAATCCTGAATAAACCACTCCCTTAAAGGGTAAAGCTAATTTTTAACTTATGTAGTAGTCCCTACTATTTAGTATTAGTGGTAACTTTCAGGTACACAAAAACACCTCTTAAGGAGATAAAAACTAGTGACGATCGCACCTTCAACATACAAAAGTTCTGATATCAACTTTTACCAAATAAATACACTTTCCAAGACTGGTAGTGAACCCGAAGGAATTGGGTGAAATGCAGCGTGGTACCTCAGCCCTTTATAGCTTATATATAAGAATTACATATATTCATAGCATTACAGTAAAGTTGAGTGTTGTTTAGTTTTGTTTTTTCGTCTCTTTCTGATGACCCGATTGACCAACACAAGGATAATAAATGTATACATATGAATGTGAATGATAGATTGAATCAAAGTGTCGCTGGTGCACTTCTTCAGGCTTCTTTCCCTCAACCAAATGTAAATCAGAATGGTCTGTTCAAGGATGGTCGACAGATCGATTCTTTTGCTGCCCCTCGGGATGATCCAGCTTAAGCACGCTCTCCTCGGATGCGGCGAGCCAACTGGATGTCCTTGGGCATGATGGTTACCCGCTTGGCGTGGATGGCGCACAAGTTAGTGTCTTCGAATAGACCCACTATATAGGCCTCGGCTGCTTCTTGAAGGGCTCCAATCGCCGCCGATTGGAAACGCAAATCGCTCTTGAAGTCCTGGGCGATTTCACGAACCAGTCGCTGGAAGGGGAGCTTGCGGATGAGCATCTCGGTCGACTTCTGGTAACGGCGTATCTCACGAAGGGCCACTGTCCCGGGACGATAGCGATGGGGCTTCTTCACCCCTCCAGTGGTTGGCACCGATTTGCGGGCAGCCTTGGTGGCCAGCTGCTTCCGGGGAGCCTTTCCTCCGGTCGACTTTCGGGCGGTCTGTTTAGTACGGGCCATATTATCTTTTTTACGTGGAGCACGACAAAAAATTATATTTTCACAAGCGCAATTTTTTTACACAGGAACACAAGCAAAAAATAACTTTTTTACACGAGAACAAACCAATTCGGACGGAAAAAATTTCACAATGAAAAAATCCAGACTGTTTAGGACAATGTGTTGTATGTCAATAATTTATAAATCTCAAGGCTACATTGATTTAAATTAAAACAAGAAAGGAAGTTAACTTCGGCAAGCCGAAGTTTGTATACCCTTGCAGTTATAATAATTAAATTTAATTCCAAATTCGTAAAAATACAAAGAATGATATTCCCACTATTATAAGATAATATGTCAAAAAACAACGAAGCTATAATTTGTTTCTTATTATTTTTCCTTCAACTTTCCGATCGTTCGTATGACAGTTATATGTATTTATATATATATATAGTCTAGTCCGGCTGGTTCCGATTTATATACTACCTGCAAAAGAAAAAAGACTTTTGGGAAAGTTTCAGCCCGATAGCTTTAAAACTAAAAGACTAGTCTGCGTAAAAACGGACGGACAGCCGGACGTGGCTAGATCGACTCGTCTAGTGATGCTGATAAGGAATATATATACTTTATGGGGTCGGAAACGTCTCCTTCACTGCGTTGCAAACTTCTGACTGAAATCAATATAGACTTGTTTAAAACCACTGTGAAAATCCCAGAGATTATTTGTATACATTTTTACTGCAAAAGCTTCGAAAAATTCAAAAAATTGAAAATAAGATAACGTTTGCAGTCATCGGCTTATCGCAGCTTAGAAACACATGGTATTATTCTCTGATTACAAATCATAACTATGTCTGCTTATCGTTCCGAAAAAAAACGCCGATCTGCCTATTTAAACCGCACGAATGGCCTGTGCTGAGATTAGTTTAAAGTTGGCGGATCTAGCAAAATGAAATCGTACTTCAAGTTTTTTCTGTCGTTTTGGCTTTTAAATGAGCTTTCTGCCACGGGAGCCATACTTCCAAATTTTTATGCGGGTCAGTCAACGGAAAATCAGTGCAACGGATATTGCTTTTCTATTCTGAAGCCCGTTCTCTACCGCAATGGGCAACTTGAGGAACTTCTGAACTTAAAAAACCAAGAAGAGTGCAAGAAAGAACTAATAGATGCGCAATCTAGAGAATTCGTTAATCAAGGTGAAGTGATCAAGGCATTGACAGGAAGTATCCAAAGACTGCAGGGTGAAATAAAAAAGAGAGATTCTCAGATCAGTGGTCAAATTGAACAACTGAAAAACGAAATCAAAAGCATTACAAAGCAGAATAATGACGACAAAGTTGAATCTCTGACAAAAACTGTAAAAGGTTTGGAAAGTAGGTTAGAAAACATGGGTTCCCAAATCAATAATCAAACTGAATTGATAAAAGCTAAAAATGCCGAGGTAGTGAATTTGAAAGAATATATTCAAGACTTGCAAAGTGCAATTAACAACAAATTGAGTACGGAAACCATTAGCAAAAAAACCGATGATATACGAGTATTGAAGTGCAGTCGACAGGACTCCTGCCCCAGCGAAGGTCCTAGTGATATTTACGAAATCAACCTGAGGGGGATAGGTACATTCGAAGCTCCCTGCAGTTCAGATGGTTGGCTAACTATTCAAAAACGATTTGACGGCTCCGAGAACTTCGATCGACCCTGGAAAGACTATAAGGAAGGGTTCGGCAATATAAGAGGAGAGTTTTTTATCGGGCTTGAGAAACTGCATGTTATGACTCGGGAACGTCCTCACGAACTTTACATTAAACTTGGCAAGGTGAACGGATCCACAGGCTTCGCTCATTATGATGACTTTAAGATTGGAAGTGAACTGGAATCGTATGTGTTGTCGATAGGGACATATAATGGTACAGTCGGAGACTCTCTAGATTACCATAGGAACCAAAAGTTTACTACACTTGACAGAGATAATGATAAACATAAAGAAGCCAATTGTGCTAAAAATGAAAATGGTGGTTGGTGGTATACTGATTGTGCTTTCAGGTAAAGACATTAATTCACTAATAATTGATCCATTTTAATATAATCACTTAAAATTACAGCAAGCTAAATGGAAAGTTTTATAGGGAGGGTAAGACCAGAGACAACAAAACTAATGGAATTGTTTGGGGTACCTGGCATGACGATTGGACCTACTCGCTTTCCTTTGTGGAAATGATGATTAGGCCCAAAACGTTGTTAGCATTCCTTCCCGGAAAATAAAAAATACCAATTTATTATCTTTTGTAAATTTGTTTGTATAAGGACAAAATTAATAATGTTTTGGTTCTATTCAATAAAATATTCGAAGAGTAAAATGTAAGAAACCGTACAGGAAAACTACAGTTTTATATAACGATAGTAGTGATTATTTCAAATAAAATTTAATTACATAAAGCTCTTAGAAGTCTAACAAAATAACAGTGTTCTACAATCCTAAAATTTGTTTTGTTTTGATAAATTACTGAAAAATATAATACAAAATCTTAAGAAAACTGTGATTTATTAAATATCTAAGCTGTTTCGATGGAATCTGTGTATGTCTACCTATATCAGCTTTATTTTTCAGCTTTACTTATTTCGAGAGTGGGAAATAAATGGGGCTGACCAAGTGTAAACGAATGGAACAGGATACGAAACTTTTATATCATTATAATGTTGCATAGATGGCTTGGGAAATACATTTGATCTTTACGACCATTCGATTTTTCGATTTTTCATACATACTTAACCATTATTAAATTGTTTAATGGGGATATAACGAAGTGCTGATCATAGACAGCAGCAACTAAGAAATTAATTGGGAGTTTGTGTAAAAACGGACGGACAGACGGACATTGCTAGATCGACTCGTCTTGTGATGCTGATCAAGAATATATATACTTTATGAAGTCGGAAACGTCTCCTTCACTGCGTTTCAAACTTCTGACTGAAATCATAATACCCTATGCAAGGGTATAAAAATAAAATCTGTACTACAGTTTTGGACAATCTATTGCATTTAGGCAGAAAGTGGTAGATCTAAAGTTTCTTATGTTATCTTAAATGTTTAGGACCCTAAGACAATGTTCTGGGGCAAACTGGAAAATAAAATACAATTTTTTATTTTGAAAGGCCTTCAATATATTGTTTTGCTTATAGTTTTGAATGGAGCGTCGGGTTAAGTGAAGTTTTTCAGAAAGAATACAACTAGGCTAATATACTGGGGCATTTATCATAACTTCCCCAACATGTCATTTTTTTTTTTTTTTTACTTTTACACTTTTATGGCTTCTTCTTCTAATCCAAGAACAATTTTTAAAGTCTTTTTATGCAAATATTTTAGTTTTTGCGATACCTTTTGATTAGTGTATCACTTAGTTACCATCGTATCTCTAGTTGCACAGTAGATTTTCAGTTCTTCGTGTATAGATAGTAGTCGCCTTCATAGACTCTCCTGGTGACTTTCGTCCCTAAGTGGACTGCCGTCCACAGTGATACTTATCAAATAAGTAATTTGTTGAAGTTAATCCAGGATGTAGTTAATATGACGGGCCTCATAGTTTCATAGGTATATTATTAAATGTTTTGTCGATGAAGAGACTTATTTTAAGACACTAAAGTGTTTATTTTGGTTTGTAACTACTTAAAAAAGATTGATAAAAATATTCCTTTTCAGTTTGATGTTATTTTTACAGAAAAAAAACCTTTCAAAATCTGTTACTAAGGGACTAATTCTCCATATTTTATTAAGTTTTGGAAAATGTATCTCCTGAATCTCATGCAATCTAACTTTATGCCATAAGTGAACTTGATTTTCATCCCTTCTAAATCAACCTCAAGTAGCAACACTTTTTTTAAGACAGCCTAATAATTCCCATTCTGCGAGGATCAGTCAAAGGGGCACTCACCTCATCGCAGGCCGAGCAGCGGGGCTTGAGGGTCTCGGCGTGGTGGCGGCCGCAGTACATGCGTCCATCCCGGTGGAAGTAGATGAGGTCCACGAGGAGCTCGCGGCAGACGCAGCAGGCGAAGCACGCCGGATGCCAACTGGCATTGGGGCCCAGTCGCGTGGCGAACACTGCGATGTCGCCCGTGGAAATTAGTTCGTCGCACTGAGGGATTGGAAATGTATATATTGTTTAGATATATATTATTTTTCTGGGGACTTCAGTGGGTGGATGGGAATACTTACGCCGTCGCAGGGTCGGGCGCTCATCAGCTGCCGCACGTTGCCGCGGCCCAGGGCATCGCGTTTGCGCTGCGTGGAGAAGAGCCGCAGCTCCTTGCGCTCCTCATCCGTCAGTGAGTGACAGTAACGAACCTGCAATGACAGCGAGTAACTGAAAACTGTGGCTTTTCCTTTGCGTGCCCCCTCCTTTCGGGAAAAGACAGGGAAATCATATGTTCAAGTGGGGCTCGACAGCGCGAGGAACCTCACAAACCGTGGGCCGAACCAAACCAAACCAAACCAAACCGAACCGCTGCCTGAAGTGATCTTTCCAAGAAGCGCGGACAGGGAACGGGCGGAGATTGTTTGTCTCAGTGGCAGACAGGCCCACATCCCATACTCCCATATTCCCATTTTCCACATCCCACAAATCCCAGAGCCCGGAGAAACGCAGAGCAGACCGCAAAAGGCCAAACGGTAGCCGGTAGCCCAGGCTGCCCATCAACGCTTCACCTCCAGCCTCCTGCTGTCCACTCCATCTGCATCTCCATCTCCATCTGCATCTGCCCATCTCCCCCAGAACGGTCTTTGGTCTGTGGTCCCTGGTCCCTGGTCTCTGGTCTGCGGTCAGCTTCTCGTTTGTGTGTTGTATGCAAATTTTTTCGGCTGCCTCCACTTATTTTTCGGTTCTCTTTTTTCTCATTTCGAGCCGGCCTTCAATGAGTGTTCTAGTCATCGTTAGCCAGGCTCTAGATCTCAGACCCCAATCCCCAGAACAGTGATGGGAAGTACCCCAGTAGCTGTACATGTGGTACCTATTAACTTAGCTGAGTATCAATTTGGAACTGAAGAATCTCTGTTATTTGGATAACTATTACAGGTAAACTTTAGCGTTCTTAAGCCCATGTTAAGGCATATTTTAGAAAACTTCGGAGATTTAAGAAAATAAATTTTACCTTCCTATAAGTGGATCGATGTAAAATGTATTTTTATTAAGACCAATTTGCTTGAGGAATACATTTTTGTAGATCATTTAATTGTTTCTTTATCAAATTTATTTCTATCTTCCGCAAGCATTATAAAATTCTTATTTAAGTATGTCGATGAATAAGTTTTAAAATTTGTATTAGAGTCAGTTCTGGCCAGAATCATACGTGTCATATCCTGTTCCCCATATCCTGTTCCTTAAATAGCCTGTAAAATGGGAAACTTTCCCATCACTGTCCCCAACCCAAGTAACTGATATCTGGCAATCCGCTCAGCATTCCCTGTTTTTGTTTGGCTAGTTTTTTGTGGTCAGCGTCTGCTCTAAATACCAAACTCAGACTGAGTCTGCACTTGTTTTCCCGATTAATTAAAGGTTACAAAACGGGAAATGGTCGGGAGGGATGCACATGGGCTGTATCAGTATAGGAAAAGGAAGGTGTGTGGGAAAATCGTCGCACAATTTGACTTTGAAATGTCATAGCCCGTAATTCGAGTTGGTTTCAATCACGATAAAGCGGCTGCCATGCGATGCCAGCTCCTCCAGTTGGGATAAATGCCGCAAAATTGACGGGCCCACGATCCCGAGGGGCTTGGGTTCGGGGTCAGGTTCTAGGGAAGGGATTGGGAAGGTGTTGGGAAGGGGTTGGCAATGGGTTGGGAAGGTGTTGGGAAGGGGGATAGGTTTAAGGATGGGAGGGACCCCTCCGCGTACTCACCTCGTTATCATGCGGCGGAAGTTGATGCAGCAATTGTCGCACACGATACTGCTCCCCCGGACTGTTGACGTATGGCACTTTGTCGTCGGGTATTTGCGAGAAATACAAGCGAACCTGCGGGAGAACGGAGCAGATGGATTCGAGTGGTAAGTATGGGTTGGAATGGCCGAATACAGTTAAGAAGCAGCGGGCTCAAAAGGGTTAAGAGCCGACACAGCGGGCAGAGATTTTTGATTTTATTACGCTGATTTCTTGGCCGCTCTGCGCGGAGCCTTCTGAGCCAGGTTGAAAGGTGCACAACGTGCTAAGCCAACTTTATTGGCCACGCTCCTCGCAAAGCGTTCTTTCATCGGCGGGTCGGCGGGGAAATGTGGAAAAGTGGAAAAATGCCAGCTCAAGCGGCGGCTGACTGACACATGGCTTATGCCGCATCAACGTAAATTGCTGCCACATGGCTGTAAATAAATTTTCAATTCTGTTTGTAAAGTCAGCCAGCGCAAAGAGAAGCAAAACGAAGAAATGCAATGCTAGACATCTGATGGGATGGGATGGCTTTAACGGAAGTCAAAGAGTTGAATGCAAAACGGCCGAGACCCCGAAAAAATTCCAAATTTCCGAGTTCGAAATTGCGAACTGGGATATGGGCTATGGGCCATGGGCCATGGGAACTGAACTGGGCACTTCTGCCGGGGCAGATTGTGAAAGATTTATTTGGCATTGTCGCATATTTTACGCGAATAATTTACGAGTTCGTTTCGTTTCTCGGCGCCTGGCAAATAATTGAAAAAAGCACGGCCGCGGCGCTTTCCAGCCACAATTGAATTGGCCATTAAAGTCAAATGCGAATTGAGGAATGGCTGCTGGCCGGCAGAGGAGCATTCATTAGCGCTATCTAATTCGAGGGACAGTCGGACACTTGGACATCCAGACTAGACCTTCGCCTAATTGACACGCTCCAATAGAGTCGAGCGGAGCCAGTTCATGTCGCCATCCTCGACTGCAATCGCCTCTGGCCACTCCGCTGCATCTTCTCCAACTTGCCAGGCGATCCTGGTCGCCAGTCGCTGATTTATGGCCCCGTCGCGTGTATTTATTTACAGCTCGCTCCGAGTGACAAAATAACGCACAATAACTCAAGTATCCCGCTTATCGCCAGCCCACAAATCTCGCCTGCCATCCCGGGTCTGCCCTTGGCACTGCGCGTTCCTCACTGCAATCGGCACTCCTCAGACGTCCAGGTCTTTGAGTGCATATCGGAGGAAGCCTTGGGGCCAAGAAGTGTCCCGAAGAGCCGCGAGACGAGAGCCTGTTCCAAACTGGGACACAGCCATTCCTGACCTCATGCTATGGTACAGCTAAATGTGACAATTTTTTGTAGTTCTGTAGAACTTAAGGCTCAAAAAATATTTGTTCTGTAGTTTTACTGAACACCATCGATTGAACAAAGCAGGGTTTGAAAGTATGACTTGTTTTTAGGTCTTTTAAATATTTATTTTTAAAATCAAAGGAAATAAAAAGTTAAAGAAAATGTTTTTTAATTTTGTATAGGAACTTGTGATTTTTGCTCTCTAAGATTGCTTGAAGTAATCAAAATGATATTAAATTCCTGAAGTAAGTCCAAAAAACCAATCCTAAGGGTTTACTCATTTGTTATTTTGTACCTTTAAAACTAAACTTGTTTCTGCTGAAGTCAGAGTGTATCCCATTTCATTTTTTAGAGGACTTGTAACTTATTACATTTTGTTTTAAGGATGAAAAATGAAGATAAAAACCTGTAAGAGCGTACCTACTTTAATGTTGTTTCTTCTAATAGATACCATATTTTTGGTAAAGTTAAAGTGGATCTACATAATATTTCTATAAACCTAGTAGCTCCTTTTTGATTTTTTTTAATGATACAAAATTAAGATTAAGATCTGATAGGTACTTTTATGTTTTGCAGGATTTATATCTAGTGCAGGTAGGTTTTCTATCATAAGGACCCACCTGATCAGGCCGCAGTCCTGGTGGCACCCAGGTGTACTCCTCCAGAGCACAGCCACTGTCGTCGTCCGAGTGCGACTGCCGCTGCATGTCCATGTGCGGTCCGCCCAGGAAGGGGGCGTGGCCGGCGGCGGAGGAGGTGCCTCCGGCGGGATGGTGGAGCAGTGAGGGTGGCGACGGCGTGGACAGAGCCGGCGAGAGCTGGTGGTGGTGGTGCGGCGGAGGCGGGAGCTGGGCATTCGAGTACTTGGGATTCGTGGAGCAGCCTGGCGAATACTGGGGGCCCAGGGGCAGGGCTCCTCCTGCTGCTCCCGATACCGATCCCGACCCCAGACCCATGCCCACTCCCACTCCCTGGAGCTGCTGGTGGTGCGGTGGCAAGTACTGCTGGTGGCGCTGCAGGGGCAGCGGGGAGGTGGGCAGGATTCCGGCCGCCGCTTGGGCCGCGTAGAGGGCGCTGGCGGAGGAGCTGCTGGGCAGGCCGTGGGCGGGGGGCGTGGCCAGGCCCTGCCCACTGGGTGAAAAGTGGCGCGGCAGCGTGGGGATCTTCTGCAGATAGGAGATCTGCGTTAGCGGAGTCCGGCTGATGGGCCTGCAAGGAAATGGGTTGGATGAGAACGGGCGGAAAACGTGACTTGGCGAAACGGGCTTGACTAATCAGAATTTAATTAAAATTTTAAAATTTAATTAAAATATTTCCTGCTTACTGCCGGGTTAAAGGCCGGCGGAGGAAAAGCTGAAATAAAAGGAAAAAAACGTGGTAATCCCTAGCCGCAAAGCCGAATCATATTGTTAATGTAATATAAAACCGCATGGAAATCATATTCATTGTATTCCTTTTGTAATTCGTTGGGTTTTTTGCGGTTTTTTACTTCCTATTGGCCGTCGAACAAGCTGTCAATTTTAGTTTGTTTTTCATGCGTTTTTTATTTTGACGGCGACAAAAGTGGGGGTCTGGGGGCAGAGGGAGTTGTTTTTGCAAACGTCAAAATGAAAAATATACGCTTCACAGCATTTACACAAACAAATCGACAGCTCTGCGTTGCTTTTGTTGCTATTTTGTTGTTATCGTTGTTGTAAAGCCCGCAGGTCTGTCGCTGTTGTCATTTTGCCATTTTCTGACATTGTTATCCTAGACGGGCTGGAATGCCCTGTAACCCGATTTTTGTGGCGTCTCCGGTTACAAACATTTTGGAAAAAACAGTTTGATCTGACCTTTAGTCCTATAAATTCATAATAATATTTATAAAAAATAGTAATTACAAAAAAGTAATGTTGTATTATACATTTTTTATAGATACGTTAAAAAAAATAATACATTTGATCAATGCTACTAACGGATATCATGGTCCTCAACTTTAAAAAGTTATTTAAAATATCAGGGAATTTAGAATTACCGGATAAGTATGACTAGTATATGATATAGTATGGTGTGATATGATATATGATATGGTATTATATACCATGGTATTATGATATAGTATATGATTTGGTTTATTATATGGTATATGATATGGTATATGATTTGGCTTATGACATGGTATATAATATGGTATAAGATGTTTGTCGATTGTCGTCAAAAATATAACTTTTTTAAAAGTTTCTGACTTTTCATTTTTAAGAACATCCAAAACCGCGCTATTCAATCATGAGAGACTACAAAAAGTACAATTTTATTTTGCTGGCAGAGGATTAGTTTAGGATCCGATCAAAACTTGTCAAATATTTGATTTCGACGTTCTCGCAGTCATTGTACGCCAATAAAAATCCAATTAAGTTCTTTAAAAACATTTCCGTAGAAGGATTAATAGGAAATCGCCTAACCCTTTAATCCTACTTCAATTAAGGTTTTTTCTGGTTTTCGTAGTGCATTTGCACCGCTCCTTTGACATCGGGGAAATAAGCACGCACCATTTCATGGCAGTTTGCCATATCAAAGGATAACTGTGCATTGTGCAGATACTCACATACAGTCCCCCATATGTAGCTACAGATACATAGATATATACTTGAGTGGGGGCGTGGGCGGGAAGGGGCGTGGTTTGGGGCTGAACTGAACTGAACCGAACTGGAAATGCGAGTTCATGCGGGCGTTTTATCAAAACAATGCTGTCCGCCCTTTTGTTGTTTTAGCCAGTGAATTCTTTCTTTTCGCCAGCCACATCCCGATTTAACATTTTCCAATTCCATTTCTAGTTCAGAGTGGTACTGGGATGGGGATTAGGACCGGGACTGGGACTGGGACCCACTGACGTGTCAATAGCTGGGCGAGTGCTATGTGCCAAGCGGTTTCTGCGGTTTGCCGGCAAATTAATTGCACAGATTGCGACTTTCGATGGGGAATAAATCCCGAAAAAATTGTTTGACATTTGAATTTTTGAGCTGTAAATGCAAGAATGCGTGGTGGCACTGCATTTTGGGGTACTGCAATGGAGTTTCGCTCCGTTTTTGGCTGGGTTTGTGGGTCGGGGTGAAATGTGATTCGCAGTCCCAAAGCTAAAAACCAAAGCCGAGTCCAAATCCAAATCCCCGGGCATGCACGTGCAACGTATCGCAGCTGGAGACCCCCGATTGCAAAGTGTTGCCCGCCATCAAATCAGCCGCTTTCAAACTCAAATTACCAGTTCCCGACTTCGGGGCCCCACCAAACCGTCTACAAAACCAGGCGAAACTGTGCCTAAACTCTATAAATTCGCCTGGGAGCCTGTGGGTCTGCCTGGCGAATTTATTGTGCGACCTGCATTTCTTCTTGGCCCTCTTTTTTTCCGGCCTGGACCAGCACAAATTTATTGTTGACTGCAGCGAATTGCGTGAAATTGGCAAAGCAATTGTGGCAAGTTTCAATTTGGCACAGGTCTATGAAGTCATTAAGGCGGGAGAACAAAATGGAAAGTGCATGTGGCCCATGTTGCGCAACATTGTTGGCCAGTTCCGCAGCAACAGGAGCTGCAGTACATATGGTATCCAAAGGAACTGAAGAAACTCGAGGAACTGCAGAAATAAGCCCGCCAGTTTTGGCCTGGCCAACAGCTGCCTTTAGCGCTATTTGCATTGATCGACAGCAGAGGACTCCGTTCTGCGGTCGCCGACTCAATTACTTTGGCAGTCGTTGACCCAGAGAACTGGTTTGGCCCGTCTAGGCCCTTCTGGAAAACTAGTTCACAGATCCACAGAGAGTTGGCCCATTGAGGAGGGGCCATTGAGGGGCCAGCTGCAGCTGGGATCCGCGGCAAGTGCCTATATTTAGCCCCGTCTGCGCTTATCTGGCATCCAAATGAATGATCATTATGCGGCGGTCGCGTTGACAAATTGCCACAGAGCTTGAGCGATGAGCGACGGCTCAATGCTCGGCTAAAGACAGTTTAGCGGATGGTGATGGCTAAAAAAATGGAGAGGGGGGATGCAGAGATATCTCTGGGCCCCGAACCACCGAACACAATGCCCAAAAGGTTAGCCCCAAATCACTTTGGCACTTTGTGTGCGGTTTTCTCAAGTCATTTGTGTGATTTGGGTTAATGTCGGAAGACCAGCCGAAAAATAATCGTGTAGGTATATATAAGCCTGCTAATACTTGTGTATCCGCAGCGAAAGTTACACCAGGGAACCCGGTGCGAAACTTCTGTTCCAACTTGCTTTTACACGGAGAGAAATAAGGGTTGAAATGGATTATCACCTGTGAAGTGATATACCTTTATTCAATAAATCCTAAAATATTGCATGATAACTGGTAATATCTCAGGAAATAGAATATAACATTGCAATTTGAAGAGTTTCATCAATTTCTTATATGTGAAGTACGCTTTAGGCTTCCCCTACATCATTTTTCCCTCTGTAAGGACTGCTTGTATGGCCTCTTGTGAGTTCAGGGACAGGTGTCGCACCATTAAGACTTGTTTGCTTTTAGTTTTACGACGTCTCTCAGCTGGACAGCAATTATGTGGCAGGACTACCCGTCCCCTTTCTACCTGTCCGTATATCCTTTTATTGTTTTACTATCCCTGACAGAGAGAGAGCAGCAACAAAAGCAACCAAACTTTTATTAAAAAGCTTTGCCAGCTCCACTGGGTTCGGTGCGATTGTCATAAACGATTTTTGAATTGTCCATAAAAATAGCTGGACGGGAGAAAGGAGCGGTGGAAAAGCTCGTAAAGTTTATATGTGGGGAGAATGTCCATATTCCCCAGAACGCAGAACCCAGAACCCCTTGGCATTTTTCCACCGGATCAGCAGCCGCAACACCAGCACGTTTTGTTCTGTCTGCCTTGTCAACATGACATTTGCCGTGTTGACATTTTTATTGACTTTGGCAGGCAGCAGGCAAACGGTTTTTTGTTCTCGCCCAGCCTGAAAGTTGATTAAGAATGCCAGTCGGTGAAGGTATGTGCGTTCGTCTGCTTCCCACCTGCGTGTGGTCCACTCCCAGGTGCGTATATTACGCATACGCCAAGTGGCACGGGCACTAATTACTCGTGCTGAAGGCGGCGACTGTACTAATTTGCCCGTTTAGAAAGTTGCATAATGGCGCGAATTGCGTTGGCTTATCTCTTTAAGCAGAACTAAACCAATTAAAGTTCGGGCTACGAGTGCACATTGCCACTCATCGCAGGCGGCAAATATAATACATATGCTGCTGCTACATTTCAGACGATCTTCTTTTTTTTGCCCCTCTACTAACGGGCAGGAAAATTGTTTGCCGAGCGTGCAAATTTTCACAGCTGCAAACAGCAACTATGCCAGCAATTTGTGTGCTAAGCGGCACACAGAGCCAAACCCCCCCCCACCCCCCATTCCGACCATCCCGATCCACACTTGGCCATCTTCAAGAGACCGCGATCCTAACCCTCTTCGCTGGCAAAATGGAAACACCACGATCAGGTTTGTGCAAGAACAGCGCTTTCGTAATGGCTGCAAGAGAAATTGCATCATCAATGCAAATTCGGTGAGCTAAAGGCGGTGATGGGAGAAGTTCCAATTTGTTTGCAGGGTAATTGATTCAAGGCATTATTTTTTATTCGAGCAACGGCCAATTAATAGCGAACTTTGTGGCAAATACATCAAAGCACAGGCTGCTGGAAAACGCGTGTGCTGTTTTGGTTCGCCCACCAGGTAGTGCCTGTTGGTTCCCCATTCCCGAACTCCCCTACTCAAGATCCCTATACCATCCCATACCATCCCATACCACACCATAACCATATATCCGTGGCTGTGTGTGTTCCAAGTCGGGGCCCACGGCATTCATCCGGAGATTTTGCTGCTTCTGCGGTCGTTGTGTTTGGTCTATGAACTTGTTTTCTCCACTTCGGTCTACCCATTCCCTGGCCCCTGAAAACCCCTTCCTCTTCTGCCTTTTTAATTGAAGCCGTGTCTTTGGCTGTGTTTTTTGCTCCATGCTTTTTGTTCCTTGTCGTCTTTGGGTTTTTTCTACGACTTTTTTTTTTTTTTATGCTTCGATTTTTATACATTAATGCTGCCTTTATTGCTGGAGTGATTATGCTCAATTTTGTTTTTGACCATAATTACATTTCGTTCTCCTACGGACGCATCCGTTAGGTTGAGTAGTTTTATCTGGGACCGGGGTTATGGCTTGCCTCG